AGTGTCGTAGGCGCGGGGGGCGGCCACCGGCGTCGTGTAGGAGCCCAACCAAATCCTGGACCTCTTGTTGGGCTCTCGAATCTCCGCCACCCACTTTCCCCACTTCCTCATCCTTATTCCTCTGTACGGTTTCATGGCTTTGGAATTCTCTCGGTGCTGTGGCTTCTTCGGTTTCGAATTCTTGGAACAACACTGGTCCCTGTCTTCCATGATGCTTCTTCTATTTCTATGCCTATGTTCCTCCTATGTACCTATGTCTATGGCTAAGTGATTAAACTATACTCCTAAATATATAAATATTAATTCTAGCTCTAGCTATTGCCGCTACCTATGCAATCATTTACATGGGGGTGTATGTATGTATATATAGATGGATCATGGATAAATATATGTGGAATTTGGAAATATATATGAAACGGTGGCCAAGGGGAAGGAACAAAGAAGTTGAGTGAGTGAGATTCCGTTCAGACCAGGAAACACACTTGCCCATACAACCATGCTGCTCCTCTATCCCTTCTATTTATATGAAGATGGAAAATTATTGACCATTGACTAGTATGCCAAAACTAAATCAACCAAGTAAAATACATTTTTTTTTATTTTTTTTCTTTTGGTAAATTAAGGTGCTATCTTCTATACGTACCCTAAACTTATTTCAAAATATTACTATTCATGTCTTCTTATAAATTTTCTCATATGTATCATTATAATCAGACACAAAATTATTTATCAATTACATTTTATTAATAATTTAAAGTTGATTTAGAATTTTAAGGTTTTTTTTATAATGTCATTAATTTTTATAATAATACTACAGAATTTAATATAATTTTAATAAATTTATGGTATAAAATTTGAATTTAACAAAAAAAAATATTATCTTGAAAGAATTTAATGAATATGAATAGTCCATGTAAAACAATTCACATGATCAATCAATTGGAAATTAAGTGCTTACATTATTTACTCTATGTGTAATATATAATGTTATTTCTAAATTTTAAACAGTTTCGTAAAAGAATAAGTAATGTATACAGTTGATAGTGCTAATTAAGATCATTCAATTATATTAACGGTTAAGAATCTAATTTGTAACGGTTTTACATCGAAAATTCATGTTGATTAAACTATTTATTAAAAGAAATCATAGAATGATATTTTATACAATTATCATGATAAAATTATAAGCGGTTGACATTACAGTGTTGATGCATAAATATAATATAATAAATTCGAAAAAGATATTTAATCATTTTATTTGGCAGTTAGCTGGGGAAGAAAATGTTGAAAAGAAATTAAAAATAATCTTTATTGGTATTATAATAAGAAGAGAAGAAAAAAGAAATGAAGGTAGAGAATGAGTTTTCCATGTGTCCTGGGAAAGAGGAGGCCACGCGGAGTTCTCTTGAAGATAAATTGGAAGGTGGCCGACACAGCCCCTCACACCCCATCTCTGTCTTTGAATCTGAAAAGCCATTACACCAACAAAACACACTCATAAATTAAACTTAAGAACATTAATTTACATACGTTCCTTATTTGTGCGCCAAGCCTTTCCAAATGGAAAATTGCTTTTTCCCACGAAAGGCTTTGCTTCATGAATTGCTTATGAAATAAGCAATTATTGTTTGTCAAATATGGGATTTGCGGTAACAATTAATGTTTGTTAGTGGATAATAGGGTGAGTTTGTTCTCCAATGATAATTGTGGGTGTGCTTTGTATGTATGTTATAATTTTGGTGGGTGGGGCAAGGGACAGGTGGATCAAATCTAACGGCTGAGACAAGTCGGTGCCCAATGAACGGTTGATCTGAAAGTGGAGGACTTTCCGTCCACGCAATAATAAAAGAGCCCACGTGTACAGTGGAGTAGACGTACAACGTGAGAGTTTCAAGTCTTTTGTTTGGTTCACAAGCTAGAACGAGAACAATAAGCCGCGTTTGAATTCAATTCTTAAAATGTCAATTTAATTAATATGTTGCCATGGAGATTTCAAAATTACGCTAATTACATTTTAATTTCTTATTTGTTTTTTAGATTGCGTTTGATTCAAAGTTTAAAATGTCATGAAGCCTGAAAAATGTGAAAAATACTACAATAATCATATTAGGATTTTCCTATCAATCAAAATTATGGGGTGTATTGGATTAGAATTTTAAAAGATAATTTTAGTTGAAAAAAGTCTGGTGAATTTTAAAAGACTTTGTAGGATTTTCATGACTTTTAATATTATGTAATATTTCACAAGACTTTCAATTAGGATTTTAATGGATTTTGCAAGACTTTTAAGTTAAGATTTTAATGGATTCTGTGTGACTTTGTGAACTTTGCAAATTTTATAGATTTTTGACATACGATAATAGTCCAACATTTTTTTTCATACATTCAAATTTAAAAAGAATAAAAAACAAATATAATAAAAAAAAATAACAATATCTAGATAAATAATAATAATAATAATAATAATTCTTCATAAAATCATGTCCTTTTAAATAATATTCATCCACATATCTATATCTATACTAGTCCTTCAAGCATTAACATATTTTCGTTCTTGCTCCTGAGTTTTAATAATAAGCTCAAAATTATGATTTTCATTAATCGGTAATGTTGAAGATGAAGGTTCTTCCACCACTCCAATTGAAAATTCATCATAATGACATTCTTTACGAAGAAAATTATGTAATGTTGCACATGCTAAAAATTATTCTAAACAATATTTTAAATTTTTTATAATTTGTGATTTAAAATATTTTGTTTATAAATTTATAAATGATTACTCTCTTATAACTAAATATGTCCCTTCATTTTATATTAATATTCAAGTGAAAGTTTATCTTTCATACACTTTTATTCATTTAAAATATCTTAGAAATTTACAAACATCAACTAGGAGAGAAAAAAATTTGAAACTTGTTACAGGTACAAAATAATTTTTTTAAGTTTTTTATTGCTTTCAATTATTCACTCGTAAAAAAATAAAATTCAGGAATTTAATTTTTAATTTAGTTCCAAAATAAATTCATTTTTTTAAGTTTCACATTCTCGTAAAATTAGTTTAAGAGTGTTAGTGTTGTGACAATATAACATTAGTGAAAATAGTGATAATAATAATTATGATAATAATGACTTTAATAGTAATAAAAACGAAGATGACTGTAATAACAAGAATGATAATAATAATAATAATTATGACAGCATTAATAGTAATATGATAAGTCATAACAACAATAATAAGAGTTTAGGATAACATGGTAATAACAATGAAAATGGTCAGTATTAAATGTAAGAGTAAATTATACTTCTCTCCTTTCATATATACGAATATACATTGTTTTTTCCTCTTATACTAAAAATTGCAATTTTGTCTCTCAATTGATTCTAATATATGATACTTACTATTTTTTTTTTTTAAGTTTTGTTAACTTCTATTAAAAAAATGTTACCAAAATATTATTTGCACTAAAAATCCTTCAAATATGTAAATATTATATTGTTATCACTTTTTGTGTTAAAATATGTTATTTTCCCCTATAAGGTAATAATATTACATTATTTTTTTCTTTTGTGTTAAAATATAGAATTTAGTACATTAAACTTAATGTCATATTGTAAATTACACTTTCTTATCTTGAGAGATATAAGTATTACAATATCTTTCACTCATATGTTAAAATATCATGTAAATTACACTTTTATCTTACAAAGATATAAGTACTATACTACCACTTCCTATTACATTAATTTATAGTATGTAACTTAACATTACTAAAACATATTCATTATAATATTTTAAAATATAATTTTAATTTAATTATTATTCATAAAAACACTTTAATTAAAGTATATTTTAAAATATTTTTAATTTATTATCATTCTTGATTAAAAACTTGTAAAATATATAATTAAATTTAAATTAATTTATTAAAATAA